AAAAAAAAAAAAAAAAAAAAAAAAAAAGGAAGGACAGAAAACAGACCTCCTCCAGATTGGTCCTCGGCTCCCTTGTGCTAATCTGCAGTCCGTGACCCAGGCTCTGCCCTGCTCCTCCGGCTGCAGGGAATCCCCGCGGAAAGGGTAGGCTCCCCAGAGGGCTGCCCAGGAATGAACTGGACAGCTGGGGAAGCCCACTCCTTTTGGCCGCTTCTTGCTTTGGGTACCCAGGGCTGTCGTGCCACCTCCTTCATGAAGCTGATCCCCAGCCCTGCTTCTCAGTCCCATGTCCCATTCCCTTGGGCCCAGCAGAGGTAAAAGGGGCTTAACTGTCCTGACTGTCGTGGCTTCTCCATCCCTCTTGCAGTGCTATTTGGCTCTTTTTGTCTGTCTTGTTTTTCACAGACTGGACCAGCCTTGGGGTTAACCAGGGACAGGGTGACACCTCACAGGCAGTGACGTGCCTCAGCCTCCTTCCTGCCACATTCCAGAGGCTGCAGGTGGCTCACGGTCTTCACCATGGCTCTGGAAGCCTTGTGGGTGTTGCTGGCTGTTCTGGTGGGTCCTGCCGGTGCTGCTGCTTTTCTTTCCCTTCCCCTGAAGCTGGGAGATAGATTTTCTCCCTGAGTGATTAATTGGTCTATTATTTATTTATTTTACCTTTTTGAGATGGAGTCTAGCTTTGTCGCACAGGCTGGAGTGCAGTGGTGCAATCTCGGCTCACTGCAACCTCCACCTCCCAGGTTCAAACAATTCTCTGCCTCAGCCTCCTGAGTAGCTGGGATTACAGGAACATGTTACCATGCCTGGCTGATTTTTGTATTTTTAGTAGAGATGGGGTTTTACCATCTTGGCCAGGCTGGTCTTGAACTCTTGACCACGGGATCCACCTGCCTCGGCCTCCCAAAGTGCTGGGATTACAGGTGTGAGCCACTAAGCCCAGCCTAATTGGTCTATTTTAAGCTTATCAAAGTAATCCCCTACTTTCAAGTTTCTCAGGGAGCAGGCCCGGAAGATGATGCCCTCGGGCTTAAAGCTGCTCCCACCACAGGGGGATGTGTCTGTCAATTGTGAGGTCCCCCAGGGCAGGCCCCCTCCTGATCTGGAGAGGGCTTGGCTCCTGCGTGCTGATTCTGCAACCTGTGGCTCAGCTCTGCACGGTTCCTCTGGTTCCAGCAAATCCTCATGAAAATAAGCCCAGGAGCCCCAAGGGTTGCAGGTCAGGCCCCCACAGCCTTCCCTCACATCATCCTTGCTCCTCTAGCCAGGGACACTCCTGCCTGTCTGTGCTGGGTTAACACCTGAGCATATTCTAGCTTGATAATTCCGTGTCGTGGCCCAATAAGCCTTCCCTGACCCTGACATCTGGGTTGAGGTTCCCTCCTACGCACCGTACCTAATCCTGATTTCCCCTCTGTAGGGTGTCAGAGATGGGCTTGGGCAGAGTGTTTCAAAGGCTCACCCCAAGTCTCTGTGCAGCTCCCCCTGAGGAAAGGCCTGTGAGAACGGGGTGGTGCCTGTCTTGTTCACAGTTCCCCAATATCTCACCTTGTACCTGGCACAGAGAAGGTACAAAAATAAAACTTTCCCAAGAATGAATGGTGTGCGTTTGAATCTTGTGTCTGAGGACTGGGGATCCATCTCTGATGCCTTTGTATCCTCTGCTGCCTAAGGTCAAGGCCTCTGCCTGAAGTCCCTGCTGAATGAGGTTAACTGGTTCCGAGACGAGAGGGGAAGTTATTGCTGGGAGGGGCTAGCACTGCAGGAGGCCCCAACCCCATCTGTCCAACACCTGAGCAAGAGGAGCAGGACTGTCAGATGAGACACAGGACGTCTGCTCACATGTGAGCAATACATCTTTTTTTTGAGATAGATTCTCGTCTGTCACCCAGGCTGGAGTGCAGTGGCGTGATTTTGGCTCATTTTAACCTCCACCTCCACCTCTTGGGTTTATGTCATTCTCCTGTGTTAGCCTCCCCAGTAGCTGGGATTACAGGCACCCACCACCATGCCCGGCTAATTGTGTTTTTAGTAGAGGTGGGGTTTCACCACATTGGCCAGACTGGTCTTGAACTCCTGACCTCAAGTGGTCAGACTTAGCCTCCCAAAGTGCTGGGATTACGATGTGAGCCATGGCACCCAGCCGGAATACATCTTTAGTATACTGCATGTAATATCTGGGACATGCTCATGCTAAAAAAAAAACTAACTGAATTTTTTGAATTTTTTTTGAGACAGTCTTGCTCCATCGCCCAGGCTGAAGTGCAGTGGTGTAATCTTGGCTCACTGCCACTTCCACCTCCAGGGTTGAAGCACTTCTGTCTCAGCCTTCCGAGTAGCTGGGACTACAGGTGCCTGTCACCACGCCTGGCTAATTTTTGTGTTTGTAGTAGAGATGGGGTTTCACCTTGTTGATCAGGCTGATCTCGAACTCCTGGCCTCAGGTGGTCCACCCACCTCGGCCTCCCAAAGTGCTGGGATTACAGGTGTGAGCCACTCATGCAGCCTGAATTTGAATGTAACTGGGAATCCTTTTCTACTTTTTCCTCTACTTTCTGAATCTGGTAACCCTAGCAAGGGGGAAGTGACTAGCCAGATGTCAGGTGGGTCTGTGCCTGAGTCTCCAGCTCTGCTCACATTCTGCCCGCTTCCTTGATGCTTCCTGCTCCTTAAATGCTTTCTGTTAGAGACCAGGGGGCACTCTAGGCGTGGCTTCCCAGCACGAGGAATCCAGGAGCACTCCCCAACCCTGCCCCAGCTGCCCTCTGGATGGTCAGGAAAGGCCTTCTGAGGAGGTGATTGCTTGAGCTGGGATTTGAAAGAATAAGCCCAGTAATGATCCAGGAAAGAACATTCCATGGAGAGATGAGAGTGAACTTGGTGCGTCTGAGAGCAGAGAGGCTAGCGTGGCTCCGAGGTGTGGGGAGGGAGGGGTTTCCACAAGAAATGCAGTCAGCATTTCAACTCAGGAGGCTTGAGCTCATCTTGGGCCGCTTAGGAAAGGACAGGGGTGTCCTCTCCTTTCCCAAGCTGAAGGAGTGCACACTTCTTAGGCTTCCAAGCCAGGAGCTTTGGCAGCAGGGATGGGGTTGGAAGGCAGTCATCCTGGGTGTCTGCTGTCCTGGGTTGGGGAATCTGGCAGCTGTGGCAAGGCCTCCAGGCCCTGGTGCTGGACAGCAGTTTGGTGGCATCGCCTGTTCTTTAAAATGGGTTGGGTGTAGCCATGAGCTCCCCATGCATCGGGTGTGCAGGCCTCTCCCTCACTCAGAACACCCTCACCCACCCTGACCCACTTGAAGCAGGCCCCTGAGAACACTGCTGACAGGGAGACAGCTGCTCTCCCTCCTAAGGGAAAGGCCTGCAGGCCAGTGCTGCCGGGGCGCAGGGCATGGGGAAGCTAAAGGGTCCCCATCATCCCTCAGCGGGAGACTCTCCTGGCTTTGGAAGGGGCTGAAGGCCCAGGGCTGTCACCAGGGAACTCAGCCTTGCTCAGTCTGTCCCGACTCCTCCTCCTCGAAGTCCGAACCCACAGACCAAACAAAGAACATGGCTCAGTTCCAGGTTCAATCCACAGGCATTCTGCCTGTTAGCATGCCACGGAAGCTGTTTCTTACCTTAAATTACCCATTCATTTCCTCCAACTGAGAGATACCCTAAACATTTTCTGTTCCTGGAGGGTTTAAGTTTGGTCTCTCTGAGGGGGTGGGCTCCGCTGTGTCTGCCCATGGGAAAGTGTGCCACGTGCAGTGGATATGCCTGTGCGTCTTGCATGGCGCTGGAGACTCTGCTCTCTGTGTACTAAGCGAGTACTGGATCCCCAGGGCCTCTCTTGCCCACTGCCTGTGGGAAGTCCACGGTCTACACAAAGTACATCCAAGTAAGCAGGTCTCCCTGCCCCCCGCCCTCCCCACGTCCCAGAATCTTGGTGCCGGGAGGGCAGGTGGGGGAGGGCGTGTGCTGAGGCCGGTTTCCCTTAGCGGGGAGGAAACCCCATTTCTCTCCTACCCCTAGGCGCTTGCTACATCTGGCTCGTCATCAGACAGGAAAGAACCCTTTGTTCCCAGCTTGCAGGAAATCTTGATCTGGACCCCTTATCTACCCACAGCACTTCCTGGACGGAGGGCCTGGACTGGGCTCTGAAGGGGCTGGCTCCCGATCTTGGTCTTGGCCTCCGCGCCCACGGGTGTTCCCCGGAGGCTGCTCTGTGGGAGCGGGGGCGGGGGTTAGTCCCGGCCTTCCCGACAGTGTCGTCTCCCCCGTGGGGGCTGGGGAGGTGCCCACAGGGCTCCCGGAGCAGCGGCGTGGCCCGAGCCGGGTCTGACACCTACTGGCCTCCTGGACCCGGGCAGGGCGAGGGCAGGGCAGGGAAGAAGGTAGAGGGCAGAAGGGGAGACCTGGAGCCAGAAAATCAGGAAGCGCGGGGCCAGGCCGGGGAAGGGCAGCGGGTCTCGCCCCTGGCACCCGCTTTCCTCTGAGCCCGGGGCCCATCCCGCCTCGCAGGCTTGGCAGACCCCAGGTCCTTCGTGCGCAGTCGGGGCTTGCCCGGCCCACCCACCCCGCTCCGCCCCAGCCCGGGCGAACCCCGCGGCCCTCGAGGCAGCCCCGCGGGCCGCAGACCCCACGCGCCCCCGAACGTAGGGGCCCCGCAGGGAGGGTCGCGAGGCCCTGATGGCGAAGGTTTCTCGAACTCGCGTCCAGAGGCCGGGCTCACGGTGGCCGCGGTTCGCCCAGCTGCGAACCCGGAGACTGCAGGGCCAGGTCCCGAGCGCGGCCGCCACCGCGGGTACCTGGCACTTGCGGGGCAGCCCCGGGGCCGAGTCCTGAGCCGGGGTGCGGGCTGCGTGCGCCACTTCCGGCCGCGGGACCCCGCCCCGCCCGCCGCCCGGTTGCCATGGCGACGCCGTCGCGCCGAGGCCCGCGGAACCGGCTGAGCGACTCGGGCGCGCCGCGGGGAGGCTCGCGGGACGCTCCGGTAGGCGAGGTAGGCGGCCGGGCCAGGGCCGGGAGCGGGGGCGGCCCAGGTGAGTCCCGACTGCGCAGGGAGGGACCGCGCCGGGCTCCGGAGCAGCAGCCGGCCTCGCACCTGCCCCCTGAGGCCGCGCACCGGACTCCGGCGCCGACCCGCATCCCGGGCCCTCTCGGAGCCGCTGCCTCTCCGGGTCCGGGCGGCCTCCGCCCTGGCCTGCCCCGGTGCCGGGTGTCTGCTGAAGTTAGAACCGAGACCCCGTTTGCCGGGGACCCGGAGTTTGGATCTTTGCTCCTGCGCCGCGTTCTAGAGCAAGGTAGGGTGCAAGTGGATCAACCAGCCTTTGGCATGGCTGCCCTCTTGAAACCTGAAGCCGGAGCCACCGCCTCCTGCCCGGAGCAGGGCCTGGGCTGCAGCGTGGAGCCGCAGGTCCCCGCCTGGGTCCCCCGACGCCCCCAGCTTCAGAGCGCGAGGGTAGGAGCTTCCCGAGTGGGAAAGCCCCACTCCTTCAGTGGCCTCAGTGGGCCTGTGGTGGGTCTGGCCGGTGCCAGCTGCGCCGAGGGTGGAGCTGCCACCACCTTGACACCTGGGAGATGGCAGGGCCACCCTCCCTCACTCCCTGCCCCACCCCCCACTGCATCACGGAGTGAGAATTGTCCTTGTGGATCTGGGATCCCCTTCTCAGGCTTCTCCCTTCTGGTCGCCCCCTCCTCTCATTCATTCCACCTTGGCAGCCTTTGTGGATTTTCTGAATCAGTAAATGAAGTTCATCTAGGGCGTCTAGATTTTGCCCCTTTGTTTTCATAGCTAATGAAGAAAAGAAAAGCCTTGCTACCTCCTCTAGATGCCTGGATTTCTCCTGTGAAATTGGATGGAGGCAGGAAAATACCACGTGGCTGCAGCCCCGTCCCCTTGCAAGAGGAGCCTCCTAGAGCTGGAGGTGGAGCCACCCTGCTTGTCCCACTCCTTTTCTTTCTTTCTTTAAATTTTTTTTTTTTTTTTTTTTGATGGAGTCTTGCTCTGTCGCCAGGCTGGCACGATCTCAGCTGGCTGCAACCTCTATCTTCCAGGTTCAGGCGATTCTCATATCTCAGCCTCCCGAGTAGCTGGGATTACAGGCATGCACCACCATGCCTGGCTAATTTTTGTATTTTTAGTAGAGAAGGGGTTTCACCATGTTGGCCTGGCTGGTCTTGAATTCCCGACCTCAAGTGATCAGCCTGCCTTGGCCTCCCAAAGTGCTAGGATTACAGGTGTGAGCCACCACACCCAGCCTTGTCCTACCACTTTACTGTCCCCACCACCTTCCCTTGGTAGGCAGAGCTTGGGCTCATGTTAATACCAGGTGGTTCAGTGGCATTAGATGGCATTGGTGAAGGGGAATGAGAAATTAACCCCCTCTAAAAGCATAGTTTCACTGGGAAAAAGTACTCTACTGTCTGAGCAATTCATAAATGAATTTTAGGAATATAAAATATCACAGATTAAAAGCAGACCCTCCTGCATTCTTCCCAGCCCCAGGAGTTTCTGCTTGGTGTGGGGGGCTGATGGTGGACAGAAAGGGAGTGTGGATTTATTAGTGTCGGCTGCCATCTGGCTCTCTGTGGCCCCAAACCTCCTGTGTCCTCAGTGCGATTCTCCTGAGGTGCTCTTAGGACAGATTTCGTGTTTGTGAGATTGCTCTTTGATGGAGTGCTGACTGCATGGCAGACACTGTGCTGGACACTAAAACGTTTATCCACTAACTCTTTCTGTGGTCAGTAAGGTAGATCCAGATATCCTCCCACTTTATAGATTAGGAAGCAGGCTTGGAGAAGGGACTTGGCTTGTCCAGGAGCTGATGGTTATAAATAGTGAGCCTGCTTTGAAATCACATCTCTCGAACCTGGGCTGCAAGGAGCCTTTCATGAGCCATTGCCCTTCTGGTCTTCAGAGGCGCCTTCCTCCATAAAAATATAATACAAATTCAGGGCCGAGCACCGTGGTTCACGCCTGTAATCCCAGCACTTTGGGAGGCTGAGGCGGTTGGATCACAAAGTCAGGAGTTTGAGACCAACCCTTCCAATATGGTGAAACCCTGTCTGTACTAAAAATACAAAACAGCTGGGCATGGTGGCATGAGCCTGTAGTCCCAGCTACTCAGGAGGCTGAGGCAGGAGAATTGCTTGAACCCAGGAGGTAGAGGTTGCAGTAAGCCGAGATCATGCCACTGCACACCAGCCTGGGCGACAGAGTGAGACTCTGTCTTAAAAAAAATAAAAATAAAAATAAAAATTATATTTTACAACTGCATTGGTATAAAGGCAAGTATAATCCAGACTGGGTTACAATAAAAAACAAAACAAAACATTTTAGGGCTGGCTTATGTCTGTCTGTAATCCCAGCGCTTTTGGAGGCCAAGGCCGGAGGACTGCTTGAGACCAGGAGTTTGACACTGGCCTGCAAAACATAGTGAAACCCTATCTCTCAGAAAAAAAAAAAAAAAAGAAAAAAAAAAAAAAAAAAAAAATATATATATATATATTTTAACTGGGCATTTTAGCATACTCATACTTCTAGCTACTTGGGAGGCTGAGATGGAAGGATCCTGTAGCCCAGGAGTCCGAGGCTGCAGTGAGCTATGATCATGCCAGTGTACTCCAGCCTGGGTGACAGAGTTAGACCTTGTCTCCAAAAAAAAAAAAAAAATATATATATATATATATATATATATATATATAATAATTGAAATAAGTTTAAAAAAATCACTTTGGGAGGCTGAGGCAGGTGGATCACCTGAGGTCAGGAGTTCAAGACCAGCCTGGCCAACATGGTGAAACCCTGTCTCTACTAAAAAGACAAAATTAGCCAGGTGTGGTGATGCACATCTGTAGTCCCAGCTTTTTGGGAGACTGAGGCAGGATAACTGCTTGAACCTAGGAGGCGGAGGTTGCAGTAAGCCCATATCATGCCACTCCAGCCTGGGCAACAGAGTGAGACTGTCTCAAAAAAAAAAAAATTGCAACATTTTCCTCAACCCTAAATGTTCATTTTTTCTTGTGATTTTCATGGAAATGGAAACATTTTTGTTCCTAAGCATTGGGAGTCCCCTGTCTGGTGGGAGAAAGGAGCTCAGTGTTTGACTTCAAGCTCTGCTGCTTCCCGGGTACCTGGTTCCTTGGTGCCTGGTCCAAGCAGTCTGTATGCCCTCGGTCTCTGGGCTGCATGGGCCAGGACAGCCACCGTGGGAGCAAGTGGAAATGCAGCTCTCTCAGCTTGTTTGCCCCCTCCTGTAACGCCTTCTCTCTTACCCTGTCCTCCTGTCCGGGCCTGTTGTCTCTGAGGGCACCTGTGCTTAGTGCCATGCTGGTACTGAGGAAGGAGGACACAGGAGGACTGGCATGGAAGGGGGAGCACTGCCCGGGAAGCCCCTTCTTTCTGGGGCAACTGGGGTGCTAAGAAAGTACCCTAACAGCTCACACCACACTTTGCCTTCTCCTTCATCACATGCTAGGACGTTCTGGGGCAACTGAGCTGTTTTCCCCTCCACCCATCAAGAAATGATGTCGTCCCTTCCTCAGTCACAATCTTTCCTAACTCAATTCAAACCCTGCTGTTGATAAGGAGGGCTGCGGCCAGCTCAGGCCGCCCGCTTCCCAGCCTCCCTGCTCCGCCTTCCACCCCCTAGGCTGTGCACCATGTGCAGTGTCTGGTCCCCAATAATGAGATTAGTCCTGGTTGCCTTTTAATAAAATGCAGTGGATGCAGGGAGGGAGAGTGATGCTCAGCTAAGCCTTGCGGGTCCTGCTGTCCTTAACGCGCTGATTGCATTAGGTGGACTCTGACTGCAGGTGGTGGGAGTGGGTGGGGAGGAGGGTGCCTCTCACAGCTGTCAGTTCCAGAAACTGCCAGAGATCAGTCACCCTCATCCTGAGCTCTCACAGAGGAAGCCAAGTGACTGTGAGGGCTACGTGCACTCCCTCTGGTCGCCAGGCTCTTGTCTGCTGAGCAGCAGAGCCCTTGGGGGTGGGGAGTGGCTGCTTCTAGGCCTTGAAGCTGCTGCCCACAGTTCTGCTCTGAGAACCCAGCGGGGCCAAGAACAGCCAGAGTCCCAGGGCCACCCAGTGAGGAGGGAAGGGCGAGAGAGGATTCTCGCTGTCAAGACTGGGAAAGGAGGGCCATGGTTCAAAGGCCCTTGCTTCCTTGGGAGTAAATCTCACCCGAGGTCCAGGGTTGCAAATGCAGCAGACACGTTTGTGGGTGGGTCCAATTCTCTCCAGAGACATTGGAATGTCTATCCCTGTAACTCCCACCCCTGGCATGGGACACAGCCCCTCCTCGCACACAAATGGGTTATCAATTACGTCGAATGAATGGCCTTGCGAGTGCCCTGTTTTGGAAGGGATCTTCCATGCACCTCCTGTAAAGCACAGAGCCACACTCAGAACCTGCAGACCTCGGTGGCCTGCAGGCCAGCCAGGGGCTTTCCTGTCATCCTCACACTTAGATTAAGAAGCCTCACCTTCCAGTCGGGAACGGGCCACTGCCGTTCCAGAGGCCACTGTTCATCTCTGGATTCCTCCCAGATGTGTGCATGCCCCGGGTCCCTGGGTCGCAGGAGCCAGGACAACCAACCACCTTTGGAGCAAATGGAAATGCAGCTCCTTTGGCTTGTTGGCCTTCCTTGAACCCCTTCCCTCTTGCCTGTGGTGGGGACCCTCTGTCTGCACGTACCTACCAGGCAGGGAGGACGCAGGGAGGACTGGCACAGGAGGGGGACCACCACCTGGGAGCCCTGCATCCAGGCAGCTTCCCCAGTGAGCGCCGACACAGACCCTGGCTGGCTTCAGTCTCTGGAAAGCCTGATGGCACCACCCTAGTTCCTGGGTCTTGGAAAGGCCAAAGCCACAGCAGCAGCAGGCAGCCACTGCTTGGCCCGAGAGCTGGAGACGCTGCCGCCCACAGACGTAAAAGCAGTGGTGCCATCTTCCGTGTGTGCATTAGGACAGGTCTTGGAGGCCTGGATCAGCTCTTGGCTCAAACTTGTACCACCCTGACCTGAAAATTTGCATTGCACAGAAGCTTATCTGCAAGCCCCTTGAGGGCAGGGACCAGGCCCCCTCTGTGTGGCTCCAGCACCTGGCCGAGTGCGGGTGCGTGCGGGTTGAGTTGAGCTGCTATTTGCTGATGGGAATTTGGGGGCATGTCTCTTGTCTTTGTTGAGCCCCCATTTTCTGGTGGGTCAAGTTGGGTCAGTGCTCCTGTTATCTGCAGTGTCATTTAAGGGCGACGTGAGAGAGAGGGCGTGAAGCACCCAGCACAGAGCAGGGGCTCACAGGCTGTTGGGTCCCCACCCTCCTGACACACCAAGCACGTGTCCACCAGGACACAGTGGAAGCAGACTGACTCAGGGTTACGACTCCCCGGGAGGCCAGGCCGGGCATTTCAGCATAGGCAGTTGCCCCTCCGAGAAGAGATCCTGGCCCTGGTGTCTGCCTGTCCCCCGGGAGCCTGGTGGGAAGGAGGGAATGGGCAGTGGCACCTTGTTCTGCTGGGCTCTCCTGCCCTTTGTACTCCATGAGGCATGGGGAGGTTGTTGGGTCGCCCGGCGGAGGGAGGGGTGATGTCCCCTCTGTTCTTCCTAATAGGAGCTAATCAGATTCTGCCTGCAGCTGGGCTCTCTGGGGATGAATCTAATAAAGGAAGCGGTGGCCTGGAGAGGACAGATGACAAGTGACTGGGGGGACAGCTCTTCTTTCAGTACATTTTCCCGTTAGACTTGGGGAGTTGGAGACCCAAGAATTCCCAAGGAGGATCAAGAGCGTCCCTGCCTTCCAGGAGTGGACGGGGCACCTTGAGATTAACCTAGACAGAAGCAACAGGGTAAGGAGGCTCCGGGAGAGCCTGGGGACAGAGTGACCTGCCTGCAAGGTGCCTGGGGAGTGGAGGGAGGGGTGTGGGGCCCGCGGCAGGGAGCCAGGCTGGGCCATGTCCTTGGCCATGGGAATAGTGGAGGCTGTAGATGGAAACAGGCAGGATCGTGCCACGAAGTTGGCATTTCACTGGCACTCGGGGCCTCTTGCGGAGGGGACACCACGACCTCGGGAACTGGCTTAGTCCCTGGAGTGTCTGTCATGTTGAAGAGGGAGAAGCTGCAGGCCCTGACTTGGGTGTGGCATGAGGATGGTCGGGAGGGAAGTGAGGGGAGGACCCAGCATGCGGTGGCCTGGGCAGCCTGGGCGGAGGAGCCGAGGTGTCACCTGGGCCCAGAAGAAGGGCAGTCCCGCTAGAGTGGGGAAGGCGTGAGAAGACTTGGTGACAATGGGAGAGGAGGTGACTAGGGAAGGGCTGGGTTTGAAGCATCTGTGGGATGTCCAGAGATGAGAAGACATGAGTAGTGAACAGACAGAAATGGGGCTTGAATTTGGGGTTGCGGGGACAGAACTGATACCTATGTAGGTGACAGATAAGGAAAGAGGCAGGAATTCCAGAAATAGGATTTATTGTTGGCTGGGGCTTCTGGAATCCTGTATTCCTGTCCACCCTGGGGCTGCGTTTCTGGGAGATGATTTGACGGAATGTGTCGGAAATCTAAAACAGAACCTAGCCCTTGTCTCAGGATTCCCTGCAGAGGAGTTTGCAAAGATGACCACATCCTGTTGCTTATTTGGTGGAAAACTGACAGCTAACTAAATACTGAACAGTGAGGACTCGTTGGCTAAAAAGTGGCCATGCAGTGTAAGAGCGTGAGAACGATGCTGCTGCATGCTCAGTGACACAAACCATGCGCGCTACGCCCTTAGTGAAAAAGCAGGTTAGAAAACAGCACGATCCTGCTTCTGTTAGAGGAATGCATGTGTGTTTTTGGGAAGGTGTGTGAGGATGCAGAGCAAATGCTGACGGCCTGCCATTTTACCTTTTTTCCTGATCCATATTCTGCTGCAGTGTGTGTAGACTATTAACACACCTTCCCCCCTTTTAATTAAAAAAAATTTTTTTGAGACAGAGTCTCACTCTATCACCCGGGTGGGAATGCAGTGGCGTGAACTTGGTCCACTGCAAACTCTGCCTCCTGGGTTCAAGTGATTCTCTTGCCCCAGCGTCCCAAGTAGCTGGGATTACAGGTGTGCACCACCATGTCCTTGCTAATTTTTGTATTTTTAGTAGAGATGGGATTTCACCGTGTTGCAGCTGGTCTTCAACTCCTGGGCTCAGGTGATTCACTCACCTTGGCCTCCTTAAGTGCTGGGATTACAGGTGTGAGCCACCGAGCCTGGCCAACACATATCCCGCTTTTAATGGTGGAGTTGCCAACAGTTGTCCGACGTGGCAGAGAGAACTGGGCAGCAGAGAAGGAGCCCATCCCTGGGAGGGACTGAAAACCAGCTCCTGGGCGCTGCAGGGCAGTGTGTGGTGGGTGTGAAAGGGGTCAGTGCCCTTGTGCTGGCCACTGTCCTCCTAGTTCTGATACAGTTGCTGCCAGGAGAGGCTGGACCATGGCGAGGGGCCAGTGGACAACCATCCGGGGTGTGGTGGGGGCAGCAGCGGTGCTCCAGTGTCTGCTTGTGGTGGCCGTGGTGGTGACCATGGTGCAGCAGTCACAGTGGCAGTGGAGGGCCATGGCAGCACTTTTCCATGGCGCAAGGGCTGCTGCTGCCACTGGGTGAAGGGAGAGCAGGCGAGGGCACGATTGTTCTCCTCCTGCTGCCTCTCCTCCCATCCCCAGCTGCTGGGCGCTCTCCTGTCTGGCACGAGGCTGTGCAGGCACTGGGCACTCCCGTGGGCTCCTAGTGTGGCCTTCTCACTCCTACGTCCCTTGGAACCACCTGCTCTCTGTTCTCCTCGGAGGGTCACGTGGGGCCGAGTGCCTCCACAGCCGTGCTGAGCTCTACCCAGCCCCCTCGCAGGCCTCAGCTCTGGGGACCTTCAGTTTTGGAACCTCACTGAGGACCATTCTAGAGTGCGGGTCCGCCCGCCCCAGCTATGGAGGGGAAGTGCAGTGTCCCTGTGTGCTGACAGGTCCCTGTGTGCAGCTGGGTCCAGGCACTTCTATTCTGCAGGTGCTGCGAGGTGGGGGGGCGGGTGGGCCGTGGAAGCTGGGCTGGCTTTCCTGGGTGTGGGGTGGGGGGGCCTCATCGCCAGTGTGGAGTCAAAAACCAGGCTGGGGAGAGAGACTTCCCATTTCTCCCCGAGATGTACTTCATGATGCGTCTGGAGAAAAGGTGTGACCAGCCCCATCCCTTCAAGGAGTGTGCTCACCTGTGTAACTCACTTGCAAAGCCCACCTGAGGAAAGCCAGGGTCTCTCGAAACAGAAAAGAGAGCCAGGCACTGGGCCCTTGTGCTCACCAGAATTTGGGGTATCTTGCCTTGCATCCTCACTGCGTGTGGAACTCCTGGTGTCACGTCCCAGGTCTCGCCTGTTCCTGTGGGGAGGCTGCCCCCCAGTCATTCCTGAGACTTGGGACCTCTGCTCCAGGATGATGGGTGGGAAGGGGCTTGTGGGTGGGAGAATGAGGGCTGCTTCCCTTGGGAGCCTCAGTGGAGGGTATCGGGGCCACATCTTGGTGGGGGGTGTGTGCGTGTGCATCTGTTGGGGGGACATGTGCATCTCTAGGGGTGCTGTGTGCATCTGGGGGGACTATGTACAACCCTAGGGGCTGTTGTGTACATCTAGTGGGGGTGGCTGTGTGCATTTCGAGGGGCTGTGCATCTTGGATGTCTGTGCGTATCTGGGGGGACTGTGCACCTCGGGGGTGGCTGTGCGCCATCTGGGGTGGCCACGCACATCTTGGGGAGGCATGTACATCTCAGGGGACATGCACATCTGGGGGGGTCCATGCTCATCTTGGGGGGCCTGTGTGCATCTGGGACAGCTTTGTGCATCTCAGGGGGCTCCGTGCTGCTCCTCTGAGCTCTGCTTTTTCCTTGCAGCCTTGGCCTCAGCATGGAGGGGAGGGCCACCGCGTCCACCCCTGCAGCGCTGCCTTACTACGTGGCCTTCTCCCAGCTGCTGGGCCTGACCTTGGTGGCCATGACTGGCGCTTGGCTTGGTCTGTACCGAGGCGGCATTGCCTGGGAGAGCGACCTGCAGTTCAATGTGCACCCGCTCTGCATGGCCATAGGCCTGATCTTCCTGCAGGGAGATGGTGAGTCCAACAGCTGCTCCTATCTGCCCGGGCTTGTGGGGGTCCCTGAGAGGCAGTTTGCAGGGGTCCTGTCACCCCTGCAGTCTCTTCCGGTTGGACAAATCTAAGATTCTAACAAAGACAGAGATGGAAGCTGGCTCAGAGCCTGGGGAGATGGAGGCTGGTGGGTGGCAGCTCCTGTCCAGCCTGGCCCGGCATTGGCACCTCCTGTTTCCACACAGAACATCCAAGATGGGGGCTTCGTGGAGCAGAGGGAAAGGGGTGGGGCCCCGAGCCAGGCTGTGTTGCAGGGGTGGTTTGAATTGAGGGAAAAAATAAGCATATGCGAGAGAGTGTGTGTGCATGCATGCGCACGTGTCTTAGACTTGGCAGAGCTAGAGTGCCTACCTCTGGGACAGGAGCCAGGTGGTGCGTGGCCTCCACCTGCCTCCGGGCCAGAGATCCAGGAAGTGGGATCTACATCCGGTTGATCCCGCTCTTCCTAGAGGCAGTCCTGGTGACAGCCACCCTGAGCAGCAGAAAGCTCAGAGGCATTCCTCACGTGACCTAGTCTTGCCCACCTCTTCTGGATGTGGGAGGTCAGGCTCGGATCACAAGGTTCTGCCTGGAAGGGGGACTGCTTGCTAAGCATAGGACCATCTGCCCAGACTGCAGTGGGGCCACATGAGGAGCCATGTGGCTAACAGGTGAACTCAGTGGCTACTGGTTTCCTCAGTATGACCAACAGTGAACCCCAAACATGGCCTGGAATATGCAGGACACCTGACAAGAAGGCAGGTGGGGCGGAGCGTCTGCTGGGCCGGGTAGCTCCTTCAGGTGGGGGCGAGGGCAAAGGCCCTGCCTTTGCTGCCTCTCCTGGTGATGGGACAGGCCTCCCGCCCTGCCCTCTTTGAGTGTGCACAGCTTGGGGAGGTTGGAGGGTCGGGGAGGGGTGTTAGGCTGCACACAGCCCTAGTGCTCTGGGAGAAGGCCAGGACATGCCCAGGGTCCCTGGGGGAGGCTGGCTTTGTCCTCGGTTCCTGCAGCTGGGCTCCGGTGACAAGACGACAGCTCACATTGCCTCTGCACCAAGGGGTCTCCTTGCTGCTGGGCAGGAGGCCTCACTGCAGGCGGGTGCACTCATGTTCCTGCTCTCGCCTGCCATAGCCCTGCTGGTTTACCGTGTCTTCAGGAATGAAGCCAAACGCACCACCAAGGTCCTGCACGGACTGCTGCACGTCTTTGCGCTCATCATCGCTCTGGTTGGTGAGTTCTCGGGTGCAGCCTTCCTGCCCCTGCCTGCCTCTTCAGGCGTTGCAAATGCCCGCCCCATCTGCTCTGTTCCGTCCCCAGAGCTGTGATGGGCCCGCCCCACTCCAAACATTCCCTGCAGGGCTGCTGGGTGCTGGCAGCCATCGAGCTGGGACTAAAGCGCAGAAGTCCCCACTAACCGGTTCCCTTGGGTCATCTCACCCCCTCCTTTTTCCACATCCAACCCTGTCCTCCTGTGGCCTGTCTCTGGCCCAGGCTTGGTGGCGGTGTTCGACTACCACAGGAAGAAGGGCTACGCTGACCTGTACAGCCTGCACAGCTGGTGTGGGATCCTGGTCTTTGTCCTGTACTTCGTGCAGGTGAGTCCTTCCAGCACCTGGGGCCTGGGCCACCTCCCAGGGAGGTGGGAGGGGAGGGGAGCTGGGCCGAATGTGCTTGATGGAAGGGCCTGTTCCCTGGGGTGCGTGCAGAGGAGAGAGCTGCCTTAGCACAGCCGGACGCTGCCTTCCCAGGCCTGGGTGGGTGCAAAGCTAGGATTGGAGGCCAAGAGTGCCCAGCTCCCAGGCGCCCTGCGGCTCACAAGCCCAGCTTTCCGAGTCTGCAGGTGTGCTAAGGCTTCAAGCGTTGGGGTCGTGCCCCTCCCACCCCCGTGCTGAGGAGGGAGGAAACCAGGCGGGGCTGAGGGGCTCGCAGTCGCCACGTGGGCACGTGGGCGCGTGGGCGCACGGGCTCACGGGCGCGTCGGCGTGTGCCTGGGCTGACCTCGGCTGCTCGGGTTGGCCGCCGCCGCGTCCCGGAACCGCCCTCCTTTCCTCCTAGTGGCTGGTGGGCTTCAGCTTCTTCCTCTTCCCTGGAGCCTCGTTTTCCCTGAGGAGCCGCTACCGCGCGTCACACGTCTTCTTTGGCGCCACCATCTTCCTCCTCTCCGTGGGCACCGCCCTGCTGGGCCTGAAGGAGGCCCTGCTGTTCAAGCTCGGGTGAGTGTCCGGGGCGGGAGGGGGCAAGGCCCGAGCCAGCCCGGCTCAGAGCTCACCCTGCCCTCTGCTTCCCGGCCGTGGCTTCCTGCGCCGCCTCGCGTGGACTCAGACAGCTGGCGCCTGTAGTTACGCTTGCTAAGATCTGGGGGCCGGGGGCCTGGGGCCTGGCTTTAGTTGGCTTTATCTTTTCAGAGAAACTTCGGGGCTATGGGCACCCTATTCATTCCCATCGCGCAGCAGGATCTGCGGCACAACTGCTTAGAACTGGAAGAATGATCTAGATTTTTACATTCCCCATCTTTTTCTGTCTGAGCAGTAGCTGGAGATTGCTGGTTGGGTCAGGGGGGTGGTCTTTCTGTTGGGCAGGGTAGGGAGGCACGGGCTGGTGCTGGCATCCCCGTGCCATCTTTAAGGCCCAGAATACGAAAGGCATTTGGCCTGTGACCCCTCGGGCAGCTCCTCCCTTCCTCTCACCCCTGCAGGGCCAAGTACAGCTTGTTTGAGCCCGAGGGCGTCCTGGCCAACGTGCTGGGCCTGCTGCTGGCCTGCTTCGGGGGTGTGGTGCTCTACATCTTGACCCGGCCCGACTGGAAGCGGCCCTCCCAGGCGGAGGAGCAGGCCCTCTCCATGGACTTCAAGACGCTGACGGAGGGAGACAGCCCCAGCTCCCAGTGATGCGCCCAGCAGGCCCTGGGGGTCCGCAGGGTGTCTTCAGGGCTGCAGGCTCCGGCGGAGGGCGGGCGAGTGCGTGCAGCTGCGTCTGTTTGAGTGCTGCTTTCTGGGGCGGGGCTCCGCCGCCTCTGCTTCTCCCTTTCTCCGCTGCTATAGCTCCCGCGTCTCTATTGTCCCCTTCAGTGCAAAGGCTTTGGTGGTCAGTCTTGGTCGCAGAGCACAGATCTTTAGAGGAGCCAGCGAGAGGGCCCCACCCTCCCGGCAGCAGATGCCTGGGGCAAGGCCACGGGAAACTGGGGGGGGGGGGGCCTCAGGGACGGGCCTGGAAAGGCCATGACGGCTTCTGAATGCAAACCAGGAGCCCCTCCAGCCCGAGTAACACGTGGTACAGATGGGCCCAGTCTTTGGCAGAGGAGCAAGTGACATGATGTGTCAAGTATGTTGGTGTTGAGAGCAAGGTTCCCAGGAGAGGGGCGGGCCAGGCCCGCGGAGGCTGAGATGAGGCCCTGGTCCAGCTGCAGTCCTGACCCTCCTATTCTTTAACCCTTTATTCAGGACAGCTTTGCTGGGAGAGGGGGTGGAAGACCATGACTTCAGACAAACGTTCCCTTCGCAGATGTGGGCAGCTTCCTCTCAGGCTGATCCAGACATGGGGGGCAAAGGTGGGAGGCACCCTACAGCCCCTTTCTGCTGGGGCTCCCTCCCTGCAGCACCCCTCCCCTGACCTCACAGCTCAGCCCTGGTTTCTTCTCCCAGGCTCACCCAGGCTTTGCTCAGGCTGGGAGGCGGAGGGCACAAAGCTTAGCATTTTTTAAATGAAAAACCACTGCTGTTGGCTGTGGCTGGAGCCCCTGGGCTGCTGGAGTTGCTGCCTCTGTTCTGGAGGACGAGCCTTCTCCCTCTGACTTGGTGCCCATCTTTCCAGGTAGTCAGGATGGAGTCAGAACTAGACTGGTCTGCAGACCCCCCAGCCTCTTATGTTCTGTGTGAGTGTCGTGCTGTTAGCTGAGTCACTGTTTGGCTTCGGCCTGGAGATAGCGTGATTAGAACATTGATCGTGTGCGTCTTGGATCTGGTGACTTCTCTCCTTGTTTTCCTTGTTTTTTGGGGGTTTGAGGAGCATGGCTTAGCTTGAGACAGACACAGTTTGCTTCAGTGAAGAAGCTGGTAACAGTTCCAGACCTGATGGCGACTCTCCCTTTCCTCCCCGATGCCGCCTTAGAGATATGGGTCAGCCTCCTCTAATGCTCAGATTTCCGGGAGTTGGCTTTTGCTGCCAGTCCTGCCTCAGGCGATGTCATTTCTGGGAGCAGGTGGTTATAGTTCAGGCCCCTCCCCAGCAGGGGCTGCCCAGGCTCCTTGGAGCCCCTTTCCCTCCTCCTCTCAGCCTGCCTGGATGACGGTGTTCGCCTCCTGTTTACACTGTATACTCTTCAAGGGTAGTGGCACTGTGAGTTCTTTAATCAGACACCCACTTGTATAGTGAAATGTCCACATGTGGGAAAACTCCACCTCAGACAACTACCAAAGTACAATCCTGTCTCCCTAGCCCGAATGCTAGAGAGAAATGGAACCTTAGATTTGCAACAAAAGTCTGTAAACCGCTGTTTGCCAAAGTGAACGCTGGATGACTAAGGATGACTGAGGAGCAAAGGCGGCCCCCAGGAGCAGCTCTGTGGTGGGTTATTTTATTTTGCCTGTGGCCAGTCTTCTGTGAAATACAATGTGCTGTTGGTGCAACAGATGATGCAATAAATGTCTACAGCAGACCTCTCGCCTGTTACCTTCCTTTACTGTGCAATAAAAGGAGCCAGAGCTTTGAGCAGCCAGAAACATGATGTTAGCTCCAGGCCTGAGAGAAATTAGGTATCTGCAGGCTGGGCACAGAAGGTAAAGTGATAGTGATATTGATCACAGCCTAGGGTCTGAAAAGGCCCTGGTTGTCCAGTCTCCACGCAGCGGAGGCAGTGCTTCCACGTGGTGAGATAAACCCTTTGCTTTCAGCCTGCGGGTGGCCTGGAGAGGGAGGCTGCAAGTGCCTGGTAAGAGCCTCAGGGAGGAGTGCCTCCGAGTGTTTAACAGACCCCTTTCCCTTTGAAACTGGTCTTTTGATCCTTAAGAGGAGGAGCAAAGGTTTTGGAACAAGCCAAGATCCCACTTTTGATCCAAGCACGTGGCTCAGGCAGAAGGTGTGTTTTGGCAAATTTGGGTGGAATCGCACCGTGGCTCTGTGCCTTGTCACTTAAAGCAGCGGTCCCCAACCTTTCTGGCAGCAGGGACAGGTTTTGTGGAAGACAATCTTTCCACAGACCAAGGCTGGAGGCAAGGAATAGTTTTGGGATGATTCAAGCACATTACATTTATTGTGCATTTTGTATTATTATTACATTGTAATATATAATGAAATAATTCTACAACTCATGGAAATGTGGAATCAGTGGGAGCCCTGAGCTTGTTTTCCTGCAACTATACGGTCCCTTCTGGGGGTGCTGGGAGACAGTGACAGACCATCAGGCATTGGATTCTCTTAAGGAGGGGGCAACCTAGATCCCTCACATGCGCAGCTCACAATAGGGCTCTGGGGATCTGACAGGAGGCGGAGCTCCGGCGGTCATGCTCATTGGCTGCTGCTCACCTCCTCCGGTGGCCAGGTTCCTAACAGGGCATGGACCCATACTGGCCTGGGGCCCTGGGCTGGGGACCCCTGACTGAAAACATCTGAAAAACTCACCAGAGCTCACTATTTAAAGGGACCCCACAGCAGATCCTCTAATAAGGTAACAGCAGTCCCTGCTTCCCAGCATGTCTCAACTTTATCTTCTGTATCGTAGCTGGTCTCTCATGTGTAGGAGCCAGAGTGGAGAGGTCCTTCCTTAGGGCACCGGTAGAGTCCCTCTTGAATCAAGGCTTCTGTGGGGAACTTTATTTACTGAAAAGCATTCAAAACACGTGGCTTGATACTTGTCACAAGCTGCTTCCTCAGCCAAGAGCATCTCATTTCTGTTTTTTTGTTTTTTTTTTTTGCGCCAGCCTCTGCATCTTTTTTTCTTGCCTGTTTGTTTATGTATATCCCACCTTCCCGAGTAGCTGGGATTACAGGTGCCTGCCACTGTGCCCGCCACTGTGCCCAGCTAATTTCTTTTTTTTGTAGAAATGGGGTTTCACCATCTTTGCAAGGCTGGTCTTGAACTCCTAACGTCATGATCCACCTGCCTCTACCTCCGAAAGTGCTGGGATTACAGGCGTGAGCCACCGTGCCTGGCCCCTCCCCTTTTTCTTTTAAATTAAGTTCTGGGGTACCTGTGCAGATCGTGCAGGTTACACAGTATAAATGTGCCATGGTGGTGTGCTGCATCCACCGCCCCATCATCTACATTAGGTATTTCTCCTAATGCTATCCCTCCCCAATCCCCCCACCCCCTGCTGTTCCTCTCCCAGCCCCCACCACCCTCTGACAGGCCCCTCCCTGTGTGATGTTCCCCTCCCTGTGTCGGTGTGTTCTCATTGTTCAACACCCACTTATGAGTGAGAACATGGTGGTGGTTGGTTTTCTGTTCTTGTGTCAGTTTGCTGAGAATGATGGTTTCCAGTTTCATCCATGTCCCTGCAAAGGACATGGACCCATCCTTTCTATGGCTGCATAGTATTCCATGGTGTATATGTGCCACATTTTCTTTATCCACTCTATCATTGGTGGGCATTTGGGTTGGTTCCAAGTCTTTGCTATTGTGAACAGTGTTGCAATAAACATATGTGTACATGGGTCTTTATAATAGAATGACTTATACTCATTTGGGTGTATACCCTGTAACGGGATTGCTGGGTCAAATGGTATTTCTGTTTCTAGATCCTCAGCAATCACCACACTGTCTTCCACAATGGTTGAACTAATTTACACTCCCACCAACAGAGTAAAATTGTTCCTATTTCTCTACATCTGTTGTCTCCTGATTTTTTAATGACCGCCATTCTAACTGGCGGGAGGTGGTACCTCAATGTAGTTTTGATTCATATTTCTCTAATGACCAGGGATGACGAGCTTTTTTTCATATGTTTGTTGGCTGCATAAATGTCTTCTTTTGAAAAGTGTCTGCTCATATCTTTTGCCCACTTTTTGATGGGGTTGTTTTTTTCTTGTAAATTTGGTTAAGTTCTCTGTAGATTCTGGATAGTAGCTCTTTGTCAGATGGGTAGATTGCAAAGTTTTTTTTCCCATTCTGTTGGTTGCCGATTCACTCTATTGATAGTTTCTTTTGCTGTGCAGAAGCTCTTAAGTTTAATTAGATCCCATTTGTCTAGTTTGGCTTTTGTTGCCATTGCTTTTGGTG